ACCGTGAAAGTCTTGCTTTTTGTTGAATTTTAAATTTACTGTATTGTATTCTCCATTTTTATTGATTAAGCTTGGTTTGTTTGAATGTTGCTATTTCCTTTCCTATTATTTCCTTCATTTTCCTTGAATTCCTTGAACTCCTATATGTGCAACTTATTTTATATGAACTTTTTAACTTTTTAAATTTGTTTATCCCACAGTTGCTTAATGTCTTCTTTCAAAAACTCTAAGGTTGCCACAGATTTTTACTCCTTTGTGAGGAAAGCATTGTGCCTTTCTCTCTTATTCTGCTCTTGCCCATTGCATGCTGATTAGTGGATTGTTCTCCTTGGCGGAAGCTTTTAAGCTGTGCCATTCAAAAATCTATAGTTCAACTTTACTGATCCTGTTCAGTGCCCAGCTCTACATTTGCATCTTTCTGCTCCCTCCAGTTTGAGTTTGAATTGTAGACTCCCATGCAATGCTTCTGCCTTGGCCTCCACAGCCAGGACTGCCTGTCACCAACCTCTGCTCTTTGTGGTTCTATATATGGTCACACCATTGTCTACTCTGCCTTTCTCCCACTCATAGTTTCAGCAGGGCCCATGATTAGTGAGACATGAGGTGTGACTTTAAGCTACATTACAGGACTGTCAGTGGCACACATTGCACAGAGTGTTACTATCATTATTATTATTTTCATTCCTCTTCTTGCTGGAATCTGCTAACAGTTAGGTCCAGGGGCCTCCTATAGGCAAGGACTCCTCCATTTTACTATAGTTTAACTTCGAAGCAAATAATTTTCAAACACTGAATTTCAATTTCCACAACAGATGAGTTCAAGAGATATCCAAACTCTGTAGTTTCACTCAGCATAGTTGTAGAGCTCTTGTAGAAAGAAAGAAAGAAAGAAAGAAAGAAAGAAAGAAAGAAAGAAAGAAAGAAAGAAAGAAAGAAAGAAAGAAAGAAAAGAAAGAAAAGAAAGAAAAGACAGAAAGAAAACAAGGAAAAGACAGAAAGAAAAAGAAAGAAGGAAAAGAAAGAAAGAAAGAAAGAAAGAAAGAAAGAGAAAGAAAGAAAGAAAGAAAGAAAGAAAGAAAGAAAGAAAGAAAGAAATGAAAAGACAGAAAAAGAAAGAAAGAAAACAAGGAAAAGACAGAAAGAAAAAGAAAGAAAGAAAGAAAGAAAGAAAGAAAGAAAGAAAGAAAGAAAGAAAGAAAGAAAGAAAGAAAGAAAGAAAGAAAGAAAGAAAGAAAGAAAGAAAGAAAGAAAGAAAGAAAGAAAGAAAGGAAGGAGGAAGGGAGGGAGGAAGGGAGGGAGGAAGGGAAGGAGGAAGGGAGGGAGGAAGAAAGAAAAAGCAAATTTTTCAAAGACACTACAGAACAACTCTTCATTCTTTGAAAAATCCTGTTACTATACATATACTACAGAAAAACTTTCCAGTTCTTTTCTAGTCTTACAAGAGGCAAACAAAGTCTCCAAGGACCACTACATTGCATAAAAGAGGGATCAGTGAGTGGACACTTAAGAAATGAGCATTAGACGAAGGGAGGGCATTCTGAGAACAGTCACAGATGAAAAGGATTGTTGCTGGAAAGAACATGAGCTTTGACCTGGAAATAAGGTGGGGAGTGAAGATGGCTTGGAGAAAAACTCTTGGAGGAAGTGATAGCAACCCCAGTGTGTTGTGACTCTAGAAAGAAGAGATGTACAGAAATTCTTTTGGGGGGAAATCATACACAATTTAGACCACATACTAAAACATGACAAGAATTAACAATTTTTTCACTGAAAGATCATCTATAGAAGCAAGAAATATGAATAGAAGCCAACAAAAAGTAATAACCCACACCAGATTTACATTCTCAAAGTCTATCAATCCATATTAGAAATAGACTGCAGAATTTGTATATAGGTGATTTTTATGGAAGTGAAGGATGGAATCACAATGATGATTAATAAAAAGATATCAGGAATAATCAAAAAAATCTATAAAAACAAGTTTAAAAGGATGGCTTATTATTTTAGAATATGTTATTTTTATTAAGCATCTTTAGAATGTACAGTGTGACACTGTAGATACTATAATTAGAAGGTTACTGTAGTGAAGCAACCTTCTGTTTGTTTTTGTGGGACAAACAGCTGAAAATTGAATCATTTAGCTTAACTCCCAAAACATTAAAAATGATTTGTGTGTGGTATCTTCTGTGTTCTTTCCCTGTATGTATACTAGTTAATATGATCTGATCAACATACACCCTCTTTCCCCACCCCAACTCGAGTAAGTGCTGTTTTGTTCTATACTGCAATATAGTGCAATCATCAGGTTTTTTAGATTTCATGTGTGAGATCATTTAATATATTTTTGTATTGTATTTATTATACTTTGCAGAATATTTTTCAGGTTTATGCGTATTGAAATATAGCAGGATCTTGTTACATATATCAAGTTTTCTTTATCCATGCATCTGCTGATGGATATTTTAATCATTTGCATACCTTGACTATTGTAAATGCTATGACTGAAGTGGGAATACAGGTATCTTTAGGGGATGCTGATTTCATTTTGCATTTAAATCTATCCCCAGAAAATAAACTTCTATATCATTTGGTAACTCTATTTTTAATTTCTTTGGAAACCTTCGTACTGTTTTTCAGAGTGTCTATCAATATAGATGCTCATCAACAGTATACAAGGTTCCCTTTTCCCATTCTTTCACTAATATTTACTATCTTTTCAAAATTTTAATTGCTGTACTTTTTAAGAAACATTTGGAGTTTATTAACAACAATTGGCATATACCAAAGGATTGGGGTATGGGGGTATGGTAAGAAAGTAACAGGGAGATACTGAGCAAAGGGCACAAAGATTCAGTTAGAATAGGTTTGGGTACATGAAATGTCATTTCAATATGTTCAAAAATTGTCCTTATGATGTGGAACAGTGAATTAAACCATTGTCTGCAGCCCTAGCATCTAAAAAGAGCTCCAGTTCAAATCCTAGTTGTTCCACTTCCAATCTAGCTCTTTCCCAATGTACCCTGGGAATCAGTGTAAGATCTCCCAAGTAGTTGCATCCATGTACACTTGTGGGAGACCCAGAGGAAGTTCCTGGTTCCTAGATTGAGTAGGGCCCAGTCCTGGCAATCACAGATATTTTGGGGAGAAAAACCAGTAGATAGAAGATGGATCCTTTTATCTTTTTGGGCCTCTCCCTCTAATTCTGAGACTTTGATTTTCAAATAAATAAATAAATAAATCTGTTTTAAAATGTTCATGGAAAATGGAATTTAAAAATCAACTGATGTGCAAGCTTTTATAACTAGTGAATACTTTTTCCCTGATATCATTTTAATTTTCATTGCAAAAAATGGGGATGACAGCAAATAATGGCATATTGTATATTTCAAACTAGCTACGATAAAATTTCCAAATGTTTTGCCACATAAAATGCCAAAAATTTTGCATTGTAATACGTTTGATTAAATCATATTTCATACCTCATGCACTTATAGGTTATAACTATAAGTTTTAGAAAATTATTCACTCTATACATCATATCAAAAATCACATGTATGCACATGCACAGACTCAAACTGTTCTAGGTAGAAAATTCATACATATTTTTAAAGTATAAAGTAGATATTTAGGGAGCTAGTCTCTCAGTTAAAAAAACAACTACACCTGATATCACAGTTCCATTCCTGATTCTGGTTTTTGTCATTTCAGACACTAGCAGTAATAGTTTAAATAATTCAATTTCTGCCACTCTTTTGGGAGACCTGTACTGTATTCATTGCTCCAGATTTAAACCTAGCTTACACTTGCTTGCTGTAAATATTTACACTGAATTGACAGATGAGAGCTTTTTTATTTCATTGTTTCTTTTTGAAAAAAGAAAAAGAAAAGAAGGGGTAGGAACAGGTAGGGGAAGAAAATGATTGAGGAAAAAGGAGAACTCTTTGTTTCTACAGATTGCAATATGAAATATCATTAGAAAGACCAAAGTCTGTGCTGAATTTAGGGAATAGGAAGCAGCAGAAAAATTAAACCAAATTTGCCTCATGAAACTTTTAATCTACTAAAAAAAACCTACTTTTTTTTTTTCTACTTACTACTTGTTGAATTTTTTATTCAGTGTAGAGTAAGCTTCAGGTTATAAAAAAAAATGAAAGTATGTCATTTTGAAAATTAGGGAAAAACATCAAGAAAAGGAGTGAAAGAGGGGAAGGCACGAGATATGTTTTTAAAGCTACACACATGAAATACCTAAAATTTTTCATTTATAATTAAATATATTTTAATACAGAAAAAGAAAGCCTTACATCCAAGGATATAGATATACAAAGTTCTATTACTTCTGCTTTGTTTTTCAATGTATTTCTTTCAGCTTTGATCAAAATCCCAGGATACGAATGAATGTTGGGCTGAGTGGATAAAACACTGGTCAATGGAGGGGACAACAATGTCTTGGAGAAAGGCAGTTAGCAACCAGCAGGGATGAAATGCTATGGTCCTAAGCTGAAGAAAACCTACTGCAGCCCACACACAGCTTGCAACTGTTACTAGGACAGAAGGGAGTGTTAGATCAATATCCCTGATGAACGTAGACACCGAACTCTTTACCAAAATAGCCATCCGGGGGAAAGTGAGCTTTCACCAGTGACATTTCCTAGTTCTCTAGCTATAGTATATTTCAAGTAGACGTTCCCTGTGTACTTCCCTGACATGTATTTGTGTTTTCAACTAGTTAAGCCTCTTTCACCAGATGACTGCTTTTTAAGTACTAGAAAAGGCCCAGCTAGAGATAAATTAATATTGTTTCATGCAAAACTGTTTCCTTAAAATTGACATATATAGTCTGCCCCTTCACTCTAGAGAAATTATCCTCAGGTTTTCAAATGTTTCAACGTGTGGAAAATCAGGTAGCTATGAGACTCAGCAATGCTTGATAACTTTATCTATAAAACAAATGTATTCACATTCATCTGAAAACAAAAAGAAATGCAGGACCGCCCTACCTGTGGTGTAGTCCTCTAATGTGGCATAGCGCATTCAACTGACCATAATTAATGTGTTTAGACACTTTCAAACCTGCGGAAAAAATCAATTAAAAATGTGCGTGATTTTCTGTAATCTTATTAACCAAGTGTGTAAATAGAATTTAATTGCAAACATTCATCATAGAGAATTCAGGGAATACAGAGGCAAGGTATCAGCAGTCTTTGTTTTACACACAGGCATAACTGAATAGAGTGGTTAAAATGAGAAAAGAATCTGATGTTTTTTGCTGATTCCAAATTTGCTCTTTTTTTTCTTTTACATCAGCAAATGCATAGGTTTTCAGGTGTCTTGTGGTATGATTATGAAAGTAAGACAAAATTTACATCCAATCCATTTTGTCTGTTAAACTTGTCTCATGAGCACCAGAATTCAAAAAGTATGGCTGATATTTGATTGTATTCCCTCTCCTTTCACTTTTTCTTTCTCCTCTACCTCCAAATTCTTTCTCTGATTTAACCCCACATAGTCCTACCTTTCATAACCACTTTCAAAACCCTTCCAAATAGCTACAGTCAGTTTTTTTTCCTCTCTCCCCAAAATTTAAAAAAATCAAAAAAGGCACCAAAACAGCAAAAAAAAAAAAAAAAAATACAGTGATCATCGCCAAGAGGCAAACTAATTTTGCTTCTCCGTCAGTGAAATAATGAGCTGATACCCTTGAAATGTGACAGAAAGTCAGGCCGAGAGCTGCATGTGACCATCTTTGCAATGATGGGCACTCACATCGCAGACCCTCAAGTTAATTTAAGAAAAAATAGTGTGATTAGAAAGGTTGTGAGCCAAAAGCAACATTAAGTGCTAACTTATGCCTATTCTCCCATTCCCTAGTGAAAAGTTATTGAGAAAAATAAGTGGCTTATTTTACTTATCAAATTTTCAAAGCAGATTCATTGACCATATTCTAGTTATAAAGTATTGGAATAATTTGACAGGTTCAAATGCATCCACTTTAAATTCAGATTCTTCAATTAAAATTTTCCCTATCATAAATTTTTTGTGAACTACAATCAGCAATAACTTCACTCTCTAAATGTGGAATTTAAATAGGAATAAGGAAAATTTAAGCAGCAAATGGATTACTGTATACATAATCTTTATCTTTAATAAACAACCAATGATTACATGACTTAGACATTTCCACCAATAATTGGATTAAGACTGGAAAAACAAAATTTTTTATAGTCATAGGAAATAATTTATTTGAAATGAACCCAATTATTGCTTGGATACTTAAAATAGTTCACTATAATAATGCTCAAAAATCTTGTGAAATATTAAGATGGCACATTTCTAAACACATATAGAGCAGGAAGGGTCCTCTATGTTGTGAACGCTTCGTTCAGCTAATGTATTTCAAGAACAGAGTTAAAAGCAGCTCTGGTGCACATTTTGGATACAAAAAGGGAGGGGGGACACAGAGATTTGAAAAGCAATGAACATTGTAGGAATTCTTACTGAAGGCACCTCCATACACATCTACGTGGTAATGAATAAAGAAAATGTGGTGTGTGGATACAACAGAATATTCAGCCATTAAGAAGACAAAATTGCATGATTCGCAGCAAAATGGATGAAAATGGAAGACATCAGATAGGACATTAAAATTAATCGGACAAAGAAAGCTATAGCAAGTTCTCGCTTACACTGACAGAACAATTATTAGACACTAGGAAGTAGAGGTCACATACAGTGTCATTGCTACAGTACAACAAAATATTCAGATAGTGACTGCAGTTCACAGGAACCTATTACATATTGAAAGGACAACAAGAGTAGAGGAGCTTGAAGATTCTGATCAATACACAATTAGATGGGAATACTAATTACCCTGATTCGATCCATGTATGTTGTATTCTGGTCTTGAATTATTAATTTGTACTTCGTAAACATAAACAATTATTACATGTTAATCAAAAATAAAAAGGGCACTTTTACAAAGTAAATGTCTTTCATCTTTCAGTTAAAGAAGCTTGCAAATGAATTATAAAATAGATCAAAGACTAGCAAATTGCTACTAAAAAAATATAAAAAATCAGGGCCTGGTGCAGTGGCCTAGTGGCTAAAATCCTCGCTTTGAAAGCGCCAAGACTCCATATGGGCACCGGTTCTAATCCTAGTGGCCCTGCTTCCCATCCAGCTCCCTGCCGTGTGGCCTGAGAAAGCAGCTGAGGATGGCCCAAAGCCTTGGGACCCTGCACCTGCGTAGGAGACCCAGAAGAGGATCCAGGCTCCTGACTTTGGATCAGCACAGCTTTGGCCATTGTGGCCACTTGGGGAGTGATTCATCAGACAGATATTCCTCTCTCTTATTCCTCCTATCTGTATATCTGCCTTCCCAATAAAAATAAATAAATCTTTTAAAAATATATACATATTCTTAAAAATTAAAATACTACTTTGCCTTTTTGTCTAAGAATCAGCTTACCTGACAAAAACTATAGGTATTGAGGTCAAGAACAACTCTAAGGCTTGGAAGAAGCAGGTAAGCACCACCTCCCCTCCAAAAAAGGAGACCAGCTAGCCCTCACTGGCTACTACATCAGTTTAGTTCATCAAAACATTTCTTCACTCTCAGTTCTGAGCAATACTGGTTAGGCAGAATGTTCAACAATACAGTGAATCTTGACTTTCAAAGTAGATTTACTAAAAAAGAAAATGCCAATTGTAACATCATAAAGACTGGATATTGAGCTTTCCTAGTGATCAAATTTAATACAAGGATAAACCCAAAAGAGCTTCAAAGGAGTATAAGATTTATATGTGTTTTCCAGTCTTATTTTCCCCTCATGTTTATCCCCTTGCCAGGCTTCTGACAGAGGAAGGGGATTAATCCTCGGAGAGCGTAAAATCAAGGGTTTAATATGGGTAACTGTGAAGGGGGATTAGAAACTGCTATGGTAGAATAGTTTCAAACTTAATAGTCAACTAGAGATCCATTATGTAATTAAAAAGCTAATTAGGAGGGATACCAAGATGGCTGGACAAGAAAAAGTCTTGCATATTTAACCAGGCAGAGCTGGTGGAGGAGGAATGGAGGAACTGGATTCCCAGGGTTTGGTTTCAGAGAGCCTGCAGAGGAAGCAATGGGGATAGGGAAGAGATGCCTTGGATAAGGACGGACAGCAATTACAGGGTGGGGAGCAGGAGTAGCACTGAAGGCTCCTCAACCAAGTGCTAAAGGAGACTGCAAAGTGCAGAGTGAGGTGGGACAGAGCAGAATACAACTTGTGAAGTAGGGGAAGACCATCACCGCGAGGCTCAATGACAATATTTTATGACATAGAAGCTTGTGACCAACACTGACTTATGGCTTGAAATGATACTAGAGTGGGAGACGGGGTATCCCAGCACCACATCACCCTAGGGGAAAGTCGCATTTCTGCTATGTCCCACCTAAGCATCCTGGTTAGGAAAAAATCAGAAACATTTTGTAGTCAGGGGAGATCCAGTGGCCTTTTATGCACCAAGGGAAAAAATCAGTGCCACATGAAACATTGCCTGACACAGAATTCATGGATCAGTTCAGACTGAGTGGAGACACAGCAGGAGGTGAAATGTGCACAAATCATCAAGAGGGAAAATATCCTTACCTTCTCCACCACCCTCACAGGAAGGACCAGACCAACCAGGGAATAATGCCAACCAAAAGTCAGTGAAAATAGGCTCTGGCTGTACTACATGTCAGCATCTGCATGTGTGAATTAGAAAGTTTTTAAGTGGACAAAAATGGGCAGTGCGGTAGCCTATTGGCTAAAGTCCTTGCTTTGCATGCACTGGGATCCCATATGGGTGCTAGTTCACATACCAGCTGCTCCACTTCCCATCCAGCTCCCTGCATGTGGGCTGGGAAAGCAGTAGATGATGGCCCAATGCCTGTGACCTGCAACCCACATGGGAGACCCAGAAGAAGTTCCTGGCTCCTAACTTTGGATCAGCTCAACTCCAGCCATTGTGGCCGCTTAGGGAGTAAATCAGCGAACAGATCTTTCTCTCTGCAACTCCTTCACTCTGTAATATCTGACTTTCCAATAAAAATAAAATAAAATCTTAAATTTACAAAGGGACAAATACTCACTACCCACTGATTTTGAGTCTGTACTAGCAATTTTACAGGGAGCTGCACACCCATTGCAAAGCAGCCAAACATACCCCTCACCCTTGTACAGGCACAGAGCCGCAAATTCCGAAGATGGAGCACTCAGAAGCAGGTGGTCCCAGTAACACCTCTGTGCTCCCATGAGGAAGACAATGTGCACTGCATCTTCAGTTGCTGGTGAATGTGGGAGTCTTGAGAACACATCCTGTGGGAATTCTGGACTGTACAGCAGGATATGATGTGTAGCTGGGTCTCAGGACCTTCAACAATTCTGACATCAGAGACTAAGTGGTCATACTGTCTGAGTGGTACAGCAGGATTCTGTGCTCACGCTAATAGCACAAGGTCCTCTGTATAGTTCATGTGATGGTGCAGCTGAAGGTTGTAGCTATAAGTAGGCTAACCCTGTGCATTGAACACCATGAGACAGATAAGATCAGGTGGTGGTTCCAATATGAGTTTCGATCACCCCACCCCTGACCCACTGACAAACAAGTCCTACCATGTTCAATGTGTATGTCAACCTGAACTCTCATTCCACACTGAGCACTGGCCAGAGTTCCCTAGCTTCACCCTGAATGTAACTCTGGATGTCTGTAGGAAGAATCACTCCAACAAGTCACAAAAGCATAGTTTATGGATAAAAATCATCAGAAAACAAAGCCAATGGACCTCTCCACAAATGCCTAACAGTAAACGTAGAAACACAGAAAAACAAAAACCTGGAGGACATGATAACTCCCCTAAAGAAACGAAATAGCTATCCAGTATTAGAATGTGAAGATGAGAGGACAGTAAGATGGCAGAATAGAGGGAGGACATGATAAAATGGACAGAATGAGTGGAAGAAAGCAGAGAGGGTGTGACCCTGAGAAATAGGTGCGGGCATGCCAACAACAGAAACATAGCTGGCTACTCATGGACAAGGGCAAAT